ATGGACAGAAAACGAGTGCAAGTGCAGTCAAAGACGAAACATTTCATTAGAGAAGAACCAGTCCAGAAGACCTATACAATTTTTTTCCCTTTTTTTTTTTTTTTTTTTTACTAATTAATAGTATTTAATTTACATTTATGTTCCATGTGTGGTCTTTTATGTGTCGACACAACGCTGGCTCATCCCTTGAGTTTAGGACCCTCATTTATGAATCCTCTCAGAGTTTGCTCATGGACAGAAAACGAGTGCAAGTGCAGTCAAAGAAATATTCAAACATTTGAAAGCCCATTAGTAAGATTAGAAGACTATTACTTGAAGCAATTTAAAAAACGTATGACTTCCTGGAGACAAAAAAGAAAAAGAAGACTTTTGCCCTGTAGTTTATGTAACGGAGTGTGAGAAACCTGGAACAGAGTTTTTGAGGTTAAATTGAAAGGCGATGGCGGGCCCAGGCCTTGACATGCCCGCACACAGAACCCTCCTCACACAGTAACACCTTAAAGCCTCCCAGCTCTATGGGAAAGTGGAGATCCCTGTTTTCCACGGGTCTTGGTAAGATGACGATGGTGATAGTGGTGGGCTGCAGTGGTGGTGGTGGGTTAATCCAGCTTACAATGTGACTGGTAGACCCCCCCCCCCTCCTCTGACATTCCCTCCTTGCTTTGGGGCCCCCTTCACTGAAGTGCAGACCTGTTTTTAAAGTGGAGAATGAGGAAAGGTGAGGGGGTCAGGTGGTGTGAATGGACTCGTTGTCATCCGAGTTTAGAGCCGGGGGGCCCCTCAAACTTAACACATGACTGGACGGGATATGTTTTTCTTTTAAAAAACCAGGACGACCTGTAAGCTTATATTTTAAAATTGCTCATTTTGCTGTAAAGAGCTGTAGGATCTAGGCCATCAGGACGGCAGAGCATGAGCTCTGCAATGTGCCAAACATTTCCTCAAAATAAAAGTCTATCACCATCTAGTGGGCAAAACATGCTCCTAATTTTTATGTTAGGTCATGGAAGGTGAAGTCCATTTTAAATTGAGTTGTCCTTAACAAGACAAATCAGACCAACCTAATCTTAGATTGCATCTCAAACAAACTGAACTGCTTATATCTTGAATAAAAGGGAAACGAACCACATAATTGCTTGTTTTCTATCATTGCAGTGTGTTTCTGTCAGTGCTGCTGGCTTTAAGAGGTGATGAGAAATCTGTGTCAGGACACTAAATAGTCACGTGTCTGCATGGGAATGAGGACACGAGAAATGGGAATACAATCGTTTTATAAAAAGCGTCGAGCATGACCTTGCTTTGTTTTACCTTTTATTTGAAATCGCGTCCTAAAAGAGACAAAAGTCCCGCTAAGACAGCCTTGTTGCACCTCTTATTTATTCTTATTTGCCAGAGGCAAATGGGTACACGTGGGGCAGCTGGGTAATTTAATTTAGGTCAGCAACAATAATAAAACATYGACACACCTCTGCCTTGTCATTTACAGGAAATGTGGTCAGCATTGAACAATAATTTTTGTCAACCAGCCACTAAAGTTCTTCACCCTGTATAGCTTTTCTTTATCACCTTGCATATTCTAATGCATTGTTTTAATTAATGGTCATTGTTTTTGTGCAGTGTCAACTAAACCAAAAAAAAAAAAGGTTTATCATCTCTGCATGTTTTGTTGTTGCACTGTAAATCCTCTTTCTGTTCTTGGGTCAAAATGACCCCTGAGGACTAAAACTGATGACTTAGGTCACCTTGTGTGACCCCCAGCTTCAGAACTGTACGGGAAAATATAAAAGATGGTCTGAAGTGCCAAACCTCAGCTGGTTGGGTCCATACCTATGTTCTCCAGGGGGTATTTAATAATGAAAGTCATGAAAGATGCTTGGCTCCCCTTTCAAATGTCCTCTAATACATGAAAGAAATACTGACATAAAATGTGCAATGTAAGCATAAAACAAAGAAAGCTGGACAAGTCGAGGACAAAAGGAATGCCTGGCATAAAAAATAAACTTTATCTAATAAAGTAGTAGAACATCTGAAAGTTTCATTTTTAAAAGACAAGGAAAAATCTGAAAAGACCGGAGAGAGATTGTCCTCTAGTTAAGCTATAGTATGAATTTTCAGTTTATAGCTTTTTGAGAATCTTCTAGCTAATTTTAAATACTTTTGTTCAATTTAAAAAAGGTGTTGTATATATCATTTGGGCCATAAAATAACACCTACTGTTTTTGTGACTGTAGGTATCAAAGGGGTCCTTCTGTCTGTTCTCCTGGGGTTAATAATAAAAATTATGAAAGACACTTGGGTTTCCCTTCAAATGTTTTTAAGACAAAAAGTTCTGAATTACAATAATAGGGAACTTAAGTTTCAGGGAACAGRGTTGCCCCTACGTTCCCTGTATGGTTCATCAAAAATACCCATGTTCTCCGGTACTATGCCTGCACTATAATTCAGTACTTTTTCATTTGTATTTTTCTCAGATTAAAAATACTGAAGGCATTGTATCACAACCTGAGGAAAATAAAAATGTAAAAATATGAATTACAGTGTAGGCATTGTACCAGGTAACATATGTGTTTCTGGTGGTGAACCGTCTGTATTTGTAGCTAAATGTTTGGTTTAAAAAGGTTTTTGCTAAGTCGTCTGTGTAAAAACACTGATTTATGATTTGAGTTTAGCTTATTTATCTGAACGATTGAGCTAAGTGGTTTAACTAACCAGACATTTCTGTGAAAATCAAAAATGACTGAAAAAAAAAAACAATTGGTGAAATTTTGGGTGTTATTAGGCATCTGAGTTTTATCAATAGTGCAAGTTTGTTTTTATATTTAATTATTTGAAACACGAGTTTATTCCCATACTCATGTTGGTATTTTAGTTAGTTTAAATCAAATTTAATAACTGTTCCATATAAAATCTGTAATTTTCTGAAGCCTAAAAATGTAGAGTTTAACCATCAGACATGGAAAAGTAGTGCGTGTTTGAAAACTTAAAAAAATAAAATAAAATACTTTTCCCCAAAAAAGGATCAGTACATTTTTAGATTTCGATTACTGTCATATTACAAAAGTTTTATTAAAAGTGCTGTTCCACACAGTTTTAGACCACCACACAGACCTTAGAGATAGAAATGTTCGTTTTTTGTTCAGATGTCATCCAAAGAACAAAACAAAGTGATTTTCCAGCTTTTATTGGATTTGCTCCAACCATCAGGACATCTTACTGCTGATCCAGAAAGGAGTTCGCTACAGACTTAAAGAAGAGGTTCCTGGTAGATTTTCGGAGGTATTCTAGCTCTAACAAATGTTTCCCAGCTGCTTGGCTTTCTGTTGGTGAAAGCTGAGACAAAACCAAATCCCCACTCCCTTCACTSTCAAACAACAAATCAGACATGTCCACTTTGTCTTTTCCAAACACGTTTTTTTTTACACTTATGAAATCTTCCTCATAGGTTTCTTGATTTGCTTCAAGGCTCGTAGTTGTGTTTCCCTCGTCATCTGGTTTTAGTGTCMACTCTGGATTTTGCTCTGTTGTGGTCATGTTTGGGAAATAATCCATATTGGTTGAAATGACCAGTGGCTGACTTCCAGCTGTGATGCTACTAAATGAAGCACTTCCAACGATGTCGGCGTACGTGATGGCTTTACCTCCGAGGCCTCTGATTGTAGCGATGTTTCTGGTTGTGTTAATCGGAGTGTACCCATCGAGTTTCCTGCTGGCTTGCTTCACACGTATGCCCCTCCTCMCTGTGTTGCTAGTGGGGGTCTTAAACATGGTCATATGGTTTGCTGTTGCAACAGATTTGTTTACGTTGTCCTTGCTCTGCTTTGATTCTAACCTCGGTGCCATCTTGAGGTGCCCTGCTGATCTCAGATAAGATGAAGAGACCACATTAGTCGCCCGAATTGTGTTTTCCTCTGCTTGTGTCCAGTTTGTTTTGCTTTGAACCCATGCAATTTGATTTGTAACAGGCCGGAGCAGCAGCTGGAAGGTTTGGATCAGATTGGTCTGGTCATCGGGTATAGGTTTAAGAATTGGAACCTGTGGAGTTCTGGGGACTGGTTTGAGCTCGTCCCTAACTGTAACTCTTCCATTCGGATCGACCGGGATGACCTTACGGCTTCCTGGTTCTGTGTCACCAGCCTGGTTGTACCGTCTGTTAATTCGAACCTGTTTTGGTTCCCAGGTCTGTAAGCTATTGAGCTGAAAACCTTTGAAACCAGTCTTGGTAGAAGTGCTTGGTTCTTGAGGTGTAGCTTTGGTGCCCTCAAGTGGTTGAGTGCCAAACCCTTTGAGACCAAATCTTCCCTTGTAGAGTTTGAATTCTTTCTCTGTTTTCTCAGTTTTGTTCACGTCAGCAACCCTTTTAGGCAGCGGATGCCTGAGGGGCCTAAAAGTTGTGGTGAACGGTCTTGGAGTCGAAACAGATGGGCTTTGGATCGGTGGAGCAGGTGAAGAACTACTCACTGGTGCAGATGCTCCCTTCTGTTCAAAGCTATACTTGCTAGACAAATAGGGGTACATATTTGTGAATCTAAACGGATGTTTTATTCCATTATCAAGACTGGATTGTTGAAAATGTGGTTTCTTTGAGGGAGAGGGACCACGTGGCTTTACAGAGTTTGTAAACCCTCCAAGGCGACTGATCCTCTTTATAGACGGCCCTGGTTTGTAGTTGTGTTCCAGGTCTCTTGGACTTGAATTGATTCGGTCCATTGGAACAAATGCYTTGCTGCTGGTTGCGAAGCTATCCTGAGAATGCAACGGAACCGTAGGGACAAAACTTTCCAGATTTTTGCCTTCTACAGAAGCTGGTTGGATAAAGGCTTGAGGGGGAGACGTAGTGACGTGTCGGGGCRGATATTTTCTGATTTGGCGTGCACCGAGCTTTTTGCGACCATCAGTATCTTGCTCGACTGGTTGTGTTGTAGCTGACCGTTTAAAATCTAAACCAAATCTGTTTTTCTCTTGTGTGTCAAAGGGGCTTTGCTTATGTTTGGCAGCGTCCATCCTTACCTCTCTTTGTTTGTCACTCGTTACTTCGTTAAACCAACCTGGAGAGTCCTTAAAAAGATACGTCAGGATCTTCCTGTGTCCCAGCATCTCCCTGTTGCTCACAGAGAGTTGGTTCTGTGAGAAATCCACGGCAGCTGTTTGCTTTTCTTGGCTGGGGATCTCGTTGCCGATTGAAGCTTCATGAGGCACAGTGTCACCCCTAAAAACAAGTATATTGCTTTTCCCATTTAACTCCCTCTCTGCTTTGACCACAGGAAGCTGATTCTTCTCCTTATAGTCACTGTAGCGCCCTCTTGAGGTCAAGGGTTGAGCTCTTTGGAGTCTGTTGGTCTGGGATGGAAAAGATTTGCTTAAATATTTATTTTTGTCCACCTTTGACGAGTCTGTGGTAAAAATGTTTTTATCGTGTTCAGATTTTTTTGTGTATCTGCTGTCCCAGTTTTGGGAAAAATATACTGAATTCGTGTTTTCTTCCTTCTGAGGGGGAGAATAATTGTGCTTTATAGAYGGCCAACCATCAAATGTCTTTTGATCACGTAGAGAGCTTCTGGTGAAAGTGCCACTCGCTGGCGTCACTCCTCTGCTCTGAACTTTGATTATCTTCACCTGAGACCGACTGTTATCTTGATGGTTTTGACTGAAACCAAAGCTGCCTTGTGTGTACTGAGGGGGCGAGTGACGGTTAATGAGTGACACTGTCTCTCTAACTCCACCTGTATCAGTTTCAGTTTGAACTCCACTTTCTTTGGATGGCAGACCGACAGAGCGGGGAGTTTGTTGGCCACTTGGATCGTTCAGTGGTCTCAGAACATTTAGTTTCAGTCGAATGTAGCCCGGTGTCATTGTTCGGTGGACTGCAAAAGGAACAAAAAGATATAATAGTTTCACACAGCCTGGCAAATAGAAATGTGATACTCATATAAGGATTACTGCAAACACAAGATATAATATGCCAAATCCGCAAAGTGTATTTTTAATATTTTGCTCCGTTTCAAAATGTTTGGGGCAACAAATTAAACTGGGAATATGTTTCAAGCTTTAAATTACTGGAAAAAACTCTAATATGATATGAATTTATTTTTTCCAACGAAACCAAGACTTTTACAATTAAAACATGGCAGAGTGCAAGATGTGCCAATACGTAAAATAAAAAATAAAAAAACTTAGGGATTTCATCACCTTCAGTGCATCATCAAAGACTTAGAACATTTGACAAAATTAGATGTGACAATATATTGGTCTTTTTTTAATTATAAATTTTATCTTCTATTAACATATTTTTTAAGCTTTCTGAAGTTCTTTAAAAATATTTTTTTGGGGGACTTCGGTCACTCATTTCCAGTCTAGTTCCAGACCCTTTTCTGATAAATTGATTTTGTTTTGTTAGTTTAATCCACTTAACTGTTGACATATTAAATCATTCAGGCAAAGCTCAAGAAATGAACCAGCGGTGTCAACATACTACAAACAACATAGCAAAAAAAACTTTAATCAAACTTTTACCTAGTAATCTAATAAATAAATAAAGCACTAGGCTATTAGACATGCTTACCTGATAGAAAAATCACTAGTGAGTGAAGAAAATTTTGTGACTGATTAATTGAATTTCAGATACCGTCTTCTATTTGTTTAAAATGTACAGTATATCAGTGATGTATAAAAAAAAAAGTTTTAGCTGAAGTCCTAGCTAGTAAATTAGTACTTTAGATAGTTGCTGTAGCTAATGTTACCTAGCTTTTATCTAAAGTTCTAGCAACTAGTATTTTAGTTAGTTGTTGTAGTGACTTCAGCAGAAGTCCTAGCTTGTATCTGATAGTAGCCTGTCAGACATGATTTGTTCAGACACAAATTAGTATTTTAGCACCATCAAGGTGCTTTCCAAAGGAGTACCTGTCRTAAACTGATGTCATCAAGTTGAGTCAGGTTCTTACCAGAGGTTTGTTTTCYGTTTCTCAAAGACTTGACTTTCAGATAGTTAATCGGCTGTAGATAGTTTTTAATCCTACTTTAATGTGTAGTTTAGAAATTTGTTTTGTCCTCCAGTTGGAGAAGAAGTACTGATTAAGGGCACTTTAAAAATGACAAAATATTATTTATATACCACTTTAATGAAATATAAAATCTGTTTGTTTTTTTTAGATTTTACATTGTATGCCTGTTTTAAATTATGTTTTTAACTAACTGATAAGTTTTTTTGCTTTGAATTTGTTGTATATGATCTCAAAGAGCTATGAACAATATTAATGGAAAGCTAAAATACAGCCAGTAAAAAAAAAAAATCTTGGTTAAATTGCTCAGACAACTTATGGTTGCATTATACATGTTCTGGGGAAAAAAGTAACAAATAAAAAGTTGTTATTGTAATTTTTCACCTGTCCAATCAGTATTTTGAGCACTGACTCAATAACTTCAGTACTTTCTTGGCAAACAGAGGTCTCACCTTTTGCTGTGTTTGAACACATGATGGCTGCACAGATCATCACAAAGAGTCTGCAGAAAAAAACACAGTTTTTCTTCTTAAGATCAACCACAAATGAGTTTCACATGATGTGTCAAGTGTAAGAAAAAAAACATCAAAACGTCTTTTACCTTGAGTTGAGAAGAAACTTGCCTAACATGACTGACATCTTCCACTCAGGTTTGTTTAAATTTCTAAAGAAGACCTTAAAGTCAGGTGCAGTAATGTCATCAGGCCTTGTTTTTTAGGGAGCTGCTCCACAGCTCTGCTGCTGATTGGAGGCAATCATCTTCACCTGGCTGCAGCCAGCCTACTTCCTTTAGTCCCTCTCTGAAAAAGTTTCTTTTGTAGTTGCTTGCCAACCACCATAAAAAAAGTAGAAGAAAAAGAAGTTTATTTTATCTGTCTGTGTCAGGGAGAACAGCCAGGAATAATCGTTTTCATTTTCCTTTAGCATAAAATAAATAAAATAATTTAAAAAATGTGTTTTATTTCACATTTTTAGGCATTAGCTTTTAACAGCTTGCTGACTTTTAGCTTTTGTAATTTTTATTTATTTAATTTTATTTACAAAGATTGCCCACATAAAAACACTGAAGTCTCTTCAGTTCCTTTAAAGCAGGGGTGGGCAATCCTGGTCCTGGATGGMCGCAGCCCTGCATGTTTTACTTTTTTCTCTGCTCAAACACACCTGATTTGAATGAATGGGTGATTATCAGGCTACTGCAGTACGGAGGACCGAAAATGACATAATTAAAAATAAAAGCGGAAATATGTAAATTGA